CCAGGCGGGTCTCAAACCCGCGGGCTCAGGCAATCCACTCACCTCAGTCTCCCAAAGCGCTGGGATTACAGGCTGAGCCACTGAGCCCGGCCACATTCAATTTTTTAAACAAACATATACGTGTACTGCTTCTGCACATCAAAAGAAACTTTAAAGACAGAAGAAACCAGCTGGGTGGTGGTTCACTCCTATAATCTCAGCATTTTGAGAAGCCGAGGGGGGAGATTCGCTTGAGGCCAGGAATTGAGGCTGTCTGGGTAACATAGTGAGACCCCCATCTCTACCAAAATTTAATTTTTTTTCCTGAGTCAGAGTCTCACTCTGTCACCCAGGCTGGAGTGTAGTGGCATGCTCACGGCCACTGCAGCCTCAACCTGCTGGGCTCAAGCAATCCTTCTGCCTCAGCCTTCCAAGTAACTGGAACTACAGGTGCATGCCACCACACCCAGCTAATTTTTTTATTTATTGTAGAGATGAGGTCTTGCCACGTTGTCCAGGCTGGTCTTGAATCCCTGGGTTCAGGCAATCCTCTTGCCTCCCAGTGTGCTGGGATTATAGGCATGAGTCACTATGCCTGGCAATAATTTTTTTAATTTGAAGAAGAAACCACTTTCTTTTCCACTTTGGCTGTCTATGGATGACATGATTAACAGGTATTCTTTCCTTTTGTTTTCAGGAGTCTCCAACCCCCGGGCCATGGACCGGTATTGGTCTGTGGTCTGTTAGGAACCAGGCAGCACAGCAGGAGGCCAGAGGCAAGCAAGTGAGTAAAGCTTCATCTGTATTTACAGTCACTCCCCATCGCTCACATTACCGCCTGAGCTCCACCTCCTGTCAGATTAGCAGTGGCATTAGATTCTCACAGAAGCACAAACCCTATTGTCAACTATGCATGCCAGGGACCTAGGTTGCACACTCTTTATGAGAATCAAATGCCTGGTGATATGAGGTGAAGCTAGCAGTGACGCTAGCACTGGGGAGTGGCTGCAAATACAGATTAACATAAGAGGTGAGGTTTGACTGTACATTCCCCACCACCACAATCTATGGCAAAATTGCTTCTACAATACCAGTCCCTTTTGCCAAAAATGTTGAGGACCACTGCTTTGTTTGTTAATATTATTCTCAATAAGGCTTTTCCCTAACTGTCTTGTTTAAAATTACCATCCCCTACCCCCTGCACTCACCATTCCCTGACCTTTTATCCTAGTCTGCTTCTTTCTTCTTTTCATGTCAGTTATCCTTTTCCAATATGTTATTTATTTCCTAATTAAGTTGATTTTTACTTTCTGCCCTTCCACACCACCCCCGCTCCCAGAACAGAAGCAGGACAGGGTGCTTGTCTGGTTCACTGACACACCTCAAGCTTCCAGTACAGTTTGCCAGGTGCACAGTAAGCGCCCAACATGTACTAGCTAAATACATGTGCAATCCAAATTCTGAAAAAATGTTCCCCTTTTGTGTTTCTGAAGGGGAAGAGAATGTACTGTGCCCCCAGAGGCCCCAGCTGGTGGGGTTTAAGGAGAAGTCAACCTTATGGGTGGGAGCGCCAGTGCCTGCTCCTTGATTTGCTCCCCTTCCTGAGAAGGTCACGACAAGGAGAAACATGGGTGAAAGGCAGACATGCAGAGAGGGCAGGGATACCTCAAAGAGCCCAGATCTCACTATGTTGAGGCCAGTCTGGGCAACATAGTGAGACCCCATCTCTACCAAAATTAAAATATTTTTTTCTGAGTCAGCGTCTCACTCTGTCGCCCAGGCTGGAGTGTAGTGGCATGTTCACGGCCACGCAGCCTCAACTTGCTAGGCTCAAGCAATCCTTCTGCCTCAGCCTTCCAAGTAGCGAAACTACAGGTACATGTGACCACACCCAGCCAATTTTTTTATTTATCGTAGAGACGACGTCTTGCCATATTGTCCAGGCTGGTCTTGAACCCCGGGGCTCAGGCAATCCTCTCAAAGAAGCTTCACAATGTCAGAAAGCTGAGAGCAGAAACTAAAGCTCGGAGAACTCAAGAACATCCAATTCTTGTGACCCCAAAGCCATGTCCTTCAGCTCTGCCCGGAGGGACAACACAAGCCCCACCTTCCTAGCCCAGAACAGCTGCCAAACTGTCATGGCTGCTGGAAACCTGAACAGAGACCTTGGGAGCGAAAGCTGGGTGCTGATATCAGGGCGCGACCAGGAAAGACTGTGCTCCTGGCCGACCCCTCAATCGATCAGCTGAGCCACTAGGGACTGTTATCTGGGTAGAGTTCCTCAGCATTGGACCCCCAGAGCAGAGCTCTGCTACACTCTACCAGGGGCCTCTCCCAACACTGTTCTGTGACATAGAAACAGCCCCTGAGCTACTCTGGTAGGGCTCCTCCCTTCCCAGGGACTGGCATCTGACGCCCTCAGGCAGTGCCAGTCAGGCCCAGGGTGCCACCCTGCCTGCCCCCATCTGCAATGGACCCCCCAGTCTTGTCATTTTCTCTTCTACACATTTCCCATGCGCCTCACCCTTCCCCCACTGCCAGCCCCTGCTCTAAGCATTTATCATCCTCCTTTTGGACAACCTCTAAACTTTCTAACCAGGACATCCATCTGAAAATGAAACATCATTTTTATCATGAAAAATGAAAGGCTAGAGTGAGCCTTTCACTTTTTAAAACTCTTTTTTTTTTTTGAGTGGAGTCTCACTCCTTCGCCCAGGCTGAAATGCAGTGGCATACATGCTCACAGCCACTGCAGCCTCGACCTGCTGGGCTCCAGCAATCCTTCTGCCTCAGCCTCCCAAGTAGCCGAAACTACAGGCACGCACTACCATGCCTGGCTAATTTTTTATTTTATTATAGAGACGAGGTCTCGCCAAATTTCCCGGACAGATCTTGAACCCATGGCTCAGGCAATCCACTCGCCTTGGCCTCCCAAAATGTTGGGATTACAGGCTGAGCCACCGAGTCCAGCCTAAACTCTTTTCTAAATGGAAGTATGATAGACACATAAAAAGGCGAATGCATCACACACCGACAGCTCGATGATCACAATGGGACACACTAAGTCACCTCTATCCAGGTCAAACAGTAGAAGAAGATGAACAGCTCCAGATGCACCCATGCCCCCAATACCTCCCTCCTGCCTGGAAGTAGCCAAAAAAGCCATTGAGTCTTGTAAATGGTGACTGTTGTCATGTCACTGGGTTCCACCACTGTCCAAGTCCTGACTCTATGGCCTCATCTTCTAGCTCCTCAGGCCCCGGGCACACAGGCCTTGAAGTTCCTTCAGCCCACGGGCTCTCTCCCATCACAGAGCCTGCCTACTAGTAGGTCCCAGAACCAGGAAAGCTCTCTCCTCAGCTGCCCTCACCGTCTGGATAACCCCAATTCCTCCTTTGTGCCTCAGCTCGAATGTCACCACCTCAGGGAAGCCTTCCTGGATTTCCCCCACTACTCTCTTCTGAGCACCCCGAACCTCTCCTTCACAGCACTTTTCACTGCTGCAGCATGTATCCCAGAGTCTCTCTTTGTCAGCAGAAGGAGCACCTCAGGAGACAAAGCAGGCATCTGCTTTTTTGGGTACCACTTGGCGTAGAGTAGAGGCTCATACACAGTAGAAAGAGCAGAAGAGTCTACCTAGTGTCGCCCACCACTTCTCCAGGAGGGTCCGTGGCCCCAGCTAGGAGATGACAGAGCTGCGATCTGGCGGGCAGACTAGAGAAGTGAGTGGCCCAGGGCAGGGCGTCATCTCACTCAGCTGGAAAAAGCTTAGGTTCAGGTCCCGCCTCCTCCATTCACAAACCGTGGGATGTTGGCTGAGTCCTTTCCACCCTGTGAGACCCGGCAGCCTTATTTCTTGGAAGGCTCTGAGGACAGAGACAGTTGGTCTGACCTCAGCCCTGCAGCCTCCCCGCGGCCACTGCCTCCCACTGCCAGCTCTTAGAGAAAGCCCTGTCTGGGCCTGGGCCCCAGGAGAAGCTGTGCTTGGAGCTGTGTTTGTGGCCCCTGCACCCGGGACTCCTGCCGGCAGCCTCAGGGGAGCAGGGCAGCTTGGAGCCTCCGTGGCTTCCCCGACAGCTGGATCTCAGTGTCCCCCCTGACCTAGTGCTTAGTGCCTCAGGGTGACAAGGGGTGAGGCTGACTTCCAGCATGGTTTTCAGGAATTACAGTCTGGAGGACTGCTCCCAACATGCTCTCTCCCTCCCTCTGGGTCTCTCTACCCCCTGCCATGACTCGGTTGCTTTCTCCCCTCTTCCTGCACTTCTCTGTATGGACTGAACCATGCACCCCTCATTTGAAAAAATGCATATGCTGAAGCCCTAATCCCAAGTATATCAGAATGTGACTGTATTTCGAGATAAGGTCTTTAAGGGGGTGACTGAGTTAAAATGAGCATAAGTGATCCAATGTAGTTTCCTTATAAGAAGAGAGACACACACACACACACACACACACACACACACACACACACAGACACTGAGGATGCAGGAGCACAGATGAAAGGCCACGTGAAGACACAGCAGGAGGGCAGCCATCTGCAAGCCAAGGAGAGAGGCTTCCAAAGAAACAACCCCGCCAGCGCCTTGACCTTGGACTTCCAGCCTCCAGAGTTGTGAGAAAACAAGTGTGTCTTTGAAGCTGTCTTTAGGATCAGAAGCAGCCCGGGCCCCAAAGAGCCTGCTGGACCATGCCCAAGAAAAGCTGTATAACTTGAGGGGCCATGGCCAAACCCATGGGGCAGTTCTGGAAGGCACCACAACGTGCTGGGTGAAGAGGCCACTGGGTGGGGCAGTGGGGTGCTCTGCTTCCATGAGCACCAGCCGGGGGGGTTCGACCCTACCCCCAACCTCCCAAAGGCTTCTGGTCCGCGGATGCAAAGGTGTCAGGGAACATTCTTCAGTAAGATTTTCCAACCAGTGGAAGGTAACAAGGGGTACGTACGATTTGGTGGGGTATGTACAATATGAGAGAAGCACAGAGGCACCACAGGGGGTCAGAGAAGGCTTCCTGAGAGAAGCAGCATCTGAGAGCAGATCTGAGGATGAACGGGAGCCAGCCATGAAGTGGACAAAGGAGCATGTGAGGGGAAAGAACAGTATTTGTATGGACTTTGAGGGTAGAAGGGTATGGGGAATTGAAAGAAGTTAATTTGGGGTGGAAGAGGGGTATGGCTTGTCATGAAATAGGACATAACCAGGGCCGGGCATGGTGACTCACGCCTGTAATCTTACTTTGGGAGGTGGAGGCAGGAGTTTGAGATCAGCCTGTGCAACATAGCAAGATCTCACACATACATACATACACACACACACACACACACACAGGCCAGCCAGGGAGGAAATGCCATGGAACTTTCCAGGGAGTCTAGTTCCCATGCTCATAGCCCCAAGCCACTGTGTATCCTCCATCACTAGAATGCAGAAAAGGTAGTCAGCTCATGACCCGGCAAGTTCCATCTCCCCCACCTCCGATAATACCCACTACAGGTGGCTTTAAAAGCGATGCTCCCAGCCCAGGGTTGCAGGGAATCCACTTACCTGGGCGAGGATGCAATTTGGTGTGGGGGGAACTGGCCGGCTTGGGGGAGGCCTCCTGGACGACTCCTTTTTCTCTACTTGAGACTTGGGCCCTGAGGAGTTCCTGGCAGCCCTGTCCAGGTGTGCGACCAATGGCGCCGGGAGGGATGCGCCGTGCAGATAGTCTGGAGGGGGCCGGGGAGGAGGCTGGGAGGGTTTCCGTAGGGCTTCCGGGGTGCTGATCACCTGTGCGCACAAGACAAGGAAAACCTGAGACAAGGAGTTCTCAATGCACTTAAAAACTCAGGGGTGGAGTGATCTTTCACAGAAACAAAGAACTGAGTATCACGTGTTCTCTCGCTCATAAGCAGACCTTGAACAATGATCGCAATACTATAAGAAAAGGATTGGCAGTAGCAGGAAACTGCTGGGAGGGGGGCAGGGAAGCAGGACTGGCAGTAGCGGGAGTCTACCTGAGGAAGGAGGGACACACCTCATCAGCAAGGGTACCTGCATAATTAACATTTGTATACGTAACCCTATATTGCACCCAATGCAATTTTTGTTAAAAAATGTTTTTGTTAAAAAAACAAAACAAAACAAAACAAAACACAACCTCAGGGGTACCCTGTGTGTCTCACTGAGAGGACCACTGCCCCAAGAGGAGAACAGACACACTGACCTATTAAACCCTCTAGGTCCCAGAGGTCAGAGGCAAGTTTAAAGTCACTAGGGAAGTCAGAACCAATTGACACATCTCTCAAGCCAACAAAATGGCCTATATTACCAATTCCATAGGCCCACAGAGGCCCTTAGGACAAGTCAGCCTGGCCCTGAGGGGTAAAGGAAAGTAGTCAAGTCTAACAACGCAAAGTGCTTACCTTTCGCTTGCCCTGAGGCGTCTGCAGCTTGAAAGTTGGGTTGGCATGCCCAGTTCCGCTATTCTGAGACACTCTAAAGGGACAACTAGAAACAAGGAATTGGGGAGCAGGAGGAAGGGGGTTTGCTCAGCAAGCGTTGGTGACTGAGTTCCCTTTGACCCAAGCATAGCCAGCAAGCAACTCAATCTTGCCAAGACTGCTCCAGAGAGGAAGTGGGATTGCTCTTCTCAAATCCTGTCTTCCTAAGTAGGGAGACCTATGTGTGGCCAGTGGAAAATCTCAAGGAAAGAGATTTGGCCCTAGATAAGACAGTTTTATCAGCACCTTCTCTCTACCCTTATAAGACCTTTCCCCTCTAAGGAGACACAAGGGTGTCACCAGCCATCAACCAATCCCCATGAGAAAGACCTGGAATTTAAAAGCCCCTCCAGAACAAGTGTAACTTCACAGGGGACTCAGAGAGTACACATTTTCAATATTCAAAGGAATAAATCACTTTTTAAAAAAAGCTAGTCTTTGTCTTGAGTTGCTGTCTGGCCACCCCTGTGACTGACTCGAGCTAGTTACCTCTCTGTTGCCTCAGTTTCCTGCCTTTAAAATGGGGGACAGATTAATTAGATAAAGGATGGCAAGTACAGTTTATTTTATATTCCAACCTGAATTGTTTGGGGGTATTCCACTGAGAAGGACTCAGAGTAATGACCAGGTTCAGTAGAGAGTACTTTTAGTAAGATCAACTAGTAATGTCTGCCATGGTCACAGCATCACAGCAGGAAGAAAGCAGTATGTACCAGGCATTCATCTTCCCCAAATTAGCCCTCATCACTACCAACACTTCCACTAGTTACTGCTTATGAGGACCTTTATGATCCACAAGTGGCCCCCGAGTCCTGCATGAGACCTCATCATACCTGAAATGCTGCCTCAACTTGGAAGGAAGGGCTGATGGTTTGAGTTGGCCCAGTTTGCTGTTCTGTCTGCAGCAGTAGCACACCAGCATGAGGCCCGCCAGCATGAAGAGGGCTGCCAGCACTCCAGCTACCACAGGACCCACACCTTACAGAACAAAAACCCAGTGGGAGATTTAGAAATGTCTGGGTAACAGCTGGGAATGTCAGAATGTATATTCCTGTATTTTCTTCAGACATTTGATTTACTTTGGCGTTACTTGTTTTAACTTACAAATTATAATTTAAAAAAATACACGTTATGTACCACTGGACAACCACTAATGTCAGCTTAAAGAGTCAGGCCGACTTGCTTTGTGCAAAGCTTCTAACATAAAGCTTCTGCAGCTACTGCTGCTTAATTGGGAAGGGTCTCTTTCGAGGCTAGCAGGTTGAGCTCTGTTCTCACTTGCCACTAGTTTTAGGCTGCATTATAATTTTCCTGAACACAAATACTGAGAGACTCAGACTGAATTCTGAACTGGTATCCAGAATCCATAATTTCACCTTTGGTTTCATCAAAATGCCTCAGTGTTCTCGTGAACTGTAAATTCAAATGTACAAAATATATTTACATCAGTGAAATACTACTCTTAACTGTTTTATATATTGAGGATTCTTCCGTGAATTTTTTTTTAAGTACTTTGCTACTATTTTTTCTTTTTTTTTTTTAAGTTTGGAAACCACAGAGCTGGAATCCCTGAGAGTTCAACTACCAAAAAACTTTTCTGAGTGTCTAACCTGTGTCCATTGGAGGAAATCTAAACCACCAGAGTGTGCCCCAGGTTACCCCAAAGAGGATGGGAACATTCAGCGACCGAGTCTCTCTAAACCTCTCACTCTAGGAAGCAGGCCCCCCTCCTCAGGAGAAAGGACGGGAGGACAGAAACTGAGCCACACCCCCATACCTGTTGCTCCTCCCACTTGGCCTTTCTTTGACTTGGGTCCTTCATCTACAAAATCATGACGACAAGGCTGAGTTGATGCGGATGCCCTGCACCGAGCCACCTGCTCCCACAGTATCCACCCTTCCCGTGAGGCAGGCCCTGGCCAGAGTAGGCGAGCACTCACCCTCGGGAGGCATGGGCCCACTGTCGATGCTGCCCCCGTGGCCTGGCGTGTTACAGAAGGGCGGTGCCCAGCCCTGGAAGCAGTGGCAGTTCTGATTGTTGTTGCAGACCTGGGCGGGGGAGGAGGACGGCAGAGGCGTCAGCACCTCGGAGAGCGCCGGCACTTACAGAGCCTGCCCAATGACTCCCCCTTGTCCCCATGACAGAGGAGCCAGAAGCCCCACGCACCCCGTGGCCGTGACACTTCTTTCCGCAGCCTTCAGTTTCAAAGAAGGAGGTGTTTCTGCATTGCCCCTCGAAGCAGATCTGTAGAAGGCAGAGCCATCAATTACAGGAGGAACTCCAGACAGGAACCAGGAGAGGGGTTTGCACTTAGGCCATGTGAGGACCCAAAAAGGCAGCCCAAACCGGTTACTTATTACGGTAAAAAATAGAAAACAATCTAAAAAGCCAAGGGCAGGTAAGCAGCTACTAAATTCTGCTATCACTTTGGTGATTAGAGAGAAAACACATTACATACAAGGGGGACTCAAAAGCTCTGGAATTATCTTTTAGAGGGCAGGCCCTTGTAGTACACTCAGAATTTGTTCCTCCGATTCAAACAGTCAACCAAAGTTTTTATCTGGAAATTCTGAATTTGTGTCACGATTTGCGGAAGAAACATCCTGAGTTGTGATAAACAGGTGACTGGTTTTTCCACCATGACAATGCACCTGCCCACACCAAACTGAGTATTCAGCAGTTTTTGAACAAAAATGCCAAGCCCTCAGTGACATTTTTTTTTGCTTCCCTGAATGAAAAAAATCTTCAAAGGGTAACGTTTTGTTGATATGGAAGAGGTGAAACAAAAAATGACAGAAGCACTAAAAGGCATCCAAACTGATGAGTTAAAAAACCTCTGAGCAGTGGAAAAAGCATCCCGATAGGTGTATTGCATTAAACGGAGAGTACTTTGAAGGTGACTTAAGTTTAAACATGTAAGAATAAAGACACGATTTTTTATAAATAAATTCTGGGGTTTGGGGGATCCTGTTGTATTACTATTATGTTGATTGCATGTTAATTGCTTCACTGTCTACTCATATGTACTAATTTTAATATTATACTTAATGATGGTGACAGCAGCCTACTCTGTGCCAGGTACTATACCAAGTGCTTCATATATTTTTAATAATTTCATTATCACACATAAATCTATGAGGTGGTGATATTATTTTCTTCAGGTTTCCCTGACTCTTGGCCCATTTTAAATTCATAATAATTAATGATGAGGATGAAAATGGCAATAGCAAGCCCATTTAAGTGCTTTACAGGAGTTATTCCTTTGAGGCTAACAATTTTTTTTTTTTTTGAGTTGGAGTCTCACTCTGTCACCCAGTCTGGAGTGCAGCGGCCGCTCCCAGTCACCGCAACCTCGACCTGCTGGGCTCCGGCGATCCTTCCGCCTCAGCCTTCCAAGTAGCTGGAACTACAGGCGCATGCTACCACGCCCGGCTGATTTTTTATTTATCGTAGAGATGAGGTCTCGCCAAATTGCCCAGGCGCGTCTCAAACCCGCAGGCTCAGCCAATCTACTGACCTCAGCCTCCCAAAGGCATGGGATTACAGGCTGAGCCACCGAGTCCGGCTGAGGCTAACAATTCTATATGGTGGGTGCTTCATAAAGGAAGTTACAGAGACACAGAGGCCGGGAGGCTGGGATTGGAGCATGGATACCTTCTCTCTAGAGCCTGCACTTGAAAGCAATCTCTCCTGTCTGCCACTGGCCCCCGAATGAGGTTGGAGGAAGACTCACGTGGTTGTAGCCGCACTTGGTCCCGGTCATCACCAGGCCTGGGTCCAGCATGTCACCCTCTTCCTCAGGACCTCGGTAGACGTGGGTGCCCCGGCACCGGATCTGCCTCCCGTTCATGATAATAGTGGTGTCAATGGGCACCGCGTTAGACTCCAGGGGCCGGGCCTCGGAGCTCTGACACTGGATTTTCCCACACTTCGCATCTCTGGGCACAAGGGAGAGGGAGGGAAGGGGCTGGGATCAGAGGCAGGGGAAGAGCTGGGGTACCGGAGAGCTTGTCTTTCTGGACCAAGGTAGCAGGCTTGGGTGGGGTAGGGCAAAGCTCCAGGGCAACAAGAATGCTTTAGGGACCCATCAGGAGCAATTCCACATGGACTCAGACCAAGGGAAGGGAACAGGCCCTTTGCCCCCGAGCAGATCTGGACCAGAGAACTGGCCAGTGAGGTCCTTACTTCAAGGACAAGTGCCTGACCTGAACAATCTGTCCCCTTCTGCTTCTCATACTGCCATGCACCCAGGACTTTCAGTCACAAGCCCACAGTCATCTTCAGCTCCCCATTCTCCCTCCCTCTGAGGTTCAAGTAATTCTCAAACCATATCTTTCCTCCTATGTATCTGCCCCAGTGTACACGGCCATCCCCCTTACCTTGACTGTAGGAAACTAACTTCCCTGCCTCAGGTTTGCCCCACGAGCCTGCTTTCTGCACTGCTCTCAAGCCCAAGTCCAAGCTCCCCTTACCATGCAAGCTTTTTAATGATCTGATCCTTGCTGAGCTGTCCAGGCTTGTTTTTCAGCAGCCCCCTCTCTACTGCACCCCAACATAATACTTGATCTGTGTCAAACTGTTATCAGTTCTTCCAACTTCCAGTTTTTCTCCACCCACCTCTCTGCCCAGAATACCTTCCCAGATGCCAGCAGCACTCCTCACCCTACTCAACTAGACAACAGCCCCAGATCTTAATTGTCTTTGGGAAACGACTCTGACCCACTATATTTAGCTGGATGGCTCTCTCCACATGCTCATAATTGCACTGTCCTGTCAATTAAAAGTTCCATGCACAGGATACTGTGTATGGTAAACCCTCAATAGACAATGGGTAAGTGTATGGGTGGATGAGTAGACAAGTGGATGATGGATGGGTGAGTAGATGGATGAGTGGGTGGATGAATGAATGAATGGTAGACAGATGAATAGACGGGTGGGTGGCTGGTTGGAATGAACGAGTGAGTGAGCGAGTGTGAAGGAAGATGGGCTATTCAGATGAGGGCCTAATTAGCATTTTGCAGAAATGACCCAAGAGAGCTGATTCCCTGTCTTACTATAGAACGGTCCTCAAAGGAAGCCTGATCAGCCTGCTAGAAATCACTGACACACCCCCCTCCCTCTGACATCCGTTGTACTGTCAAACAATGGGCTGAGACTAGACAACTGACTTTAGTTGATGTTTTTAAAGGTTCAGCTCTGGGGCCTGTCACACCGCTGAGCTGTGCAGAAGTGAGGAGGTCGGAGCCTGCCCCGTGGTCATCACCTCATGTTGCACTTCTTGTGTTGCCCATTCATGTCCTTTCCACAGTTTCCAAAGGTGTCTCCCGCCACATTCACCTTCTCGAAGCAGAGATCAGGGGCAGGCCGGGCTCCTGGGTGGGCAAGAAACAACACTTATCAGCACACTTGCCTGTCCGAAGCCCCCAAGGGCAAAGCTACCCTTGGTAAAATCATGCAGCTAAGAGTGTCTTCTGGGAGGGAATACTCAGTCTCTTCTGTATGCACCCCATCAGGTTACTCCACCCCCATACTCTCATCAAGACCTAATCATAGAAAAACGTTTTATATCAGCTCCTTCTACCTTATTGAGGAGTTACATCGCAGGTGCGGTGGCTGCATGCTAAGCCTGCTCTCTAATGAAGAAGCCCTGTCCCACTTCAGGCTGGAGTGCAGTGGCACGCTCATGGCCACCACAGCCTTGACCTGAGGAACCTTCCAAGTAGCTGGAACCACAGGTGTATGCCACCATGTCTGGCTAATTTTTTTTTTTAATTGTAAAGCTGAGGTCTTTCCAAACTCCCCGGGCTGGTCTCGAATGCTTGGGCACACATTTTAAACATATAAGCATGTCTTTGCAATTTTTTCTTGTAGCCATCCAACTCTCCAGTTCTTACTTCCCTATATCCTGGAGAAACAGCACTTATTACTTATCAATAGTGTATTTTCTAGAGATAATTATATCTCTATCTTCTGTATCTTCTAGATATAATTCCATGTGTATATTCCAGAGGTCATCTATCTAATAAAAAATGGAAGCATTTTTTTTAAGAGACAGGATCTCATTCTGTCACTGAGGCTGGAGCGTAGTGGTGAGATCATAGCTCTTTGCAGTCTTGAACTCCTGGGCTCAAGTGGTCCTCCCGCCTCAGCCTCCTGAGTAGCCGGGGCTATAGATGTGCACCATCACACCTGGCTTGGAAGCATATTCTATTCACTGTTCTACACCTTGCATTCTTCATTTAATGTATCATGGGAGATTGTTTGATCCAGTAGATACAGAGCTGCTTCTTTATTTAGTCACAGTGTTGCATTGTGTGGATGTACCAGAATTAATTTAATTGGTCCCTGCTGCAGGACATATAGGTGGTTACTGCTATAACTAACAGTAAATAACTACCTGTGATAAATATCTTTGTAAATATATCTTCATGTACATGTGCAAGGACAAATGTCAGCTGCACTTATAAGTAATGGAACTGATGGTCCAATAATTGTATTTAAAATTTGGACATTTCCAATTTGCTTTCCATACCTTCCATAACACTGTATTATTGTTGTTGTTATTATTATATAGTATTAACTTTCAGTCTTTGCAAACTGATACATGAAAGTCCCACTGCATAGGAGCTATAATTTGCTTTCCTTAATATGACTGAGGTTAAACATCTTTTCACAGTTTAAGGGCCAATTGCGTTTGCTTTTCTGTCTCCATCCCTGCTCCTTTTCCTTTTGGCTTATTCTTACCCATTTGCCTACTCTGAGAATTAAAAGCATGAAGGGACTGGGAAGAGCTCTGCCCACTGGCTCTCCCTGAACATCTACCCTGAGTCAAGGAAGGAAAAAGAAGGATCTGGAGATGCTGCTTTGAAGTCAACATCCTTAGCTACCCCACAGGCCAGCGAGGATGCTGGCTGGGAGTGGTGGGGCGGTGAGGTCGTGCCCCCCAGGAGAGCCTTACCAGGCCCCCACAGCTGCTGGCACTGCTCCTGGTAGGTGAGGCACATGCCGTTGTAGCAGTAAGCTTGACCACCCTCGCAGGGGGTGCCGTCCATCTGGTAGAAGTTGGTGGGGCAGTGGGGAGACTTGCCCGTGCAGAACTCTGGGAGGTCGCACTGCCGGGTCTGCTCGCGGCAGAGGGTGCCAGGAGCCAGCAGCTGAGCAGAGGGACGAGAAGGAAAACAGTCAATCTCCTCCCTGCCCTCAACCCTGTCGGCCAAGGGCTCATAGCATCCCTCGTGTGGAACAGAATTTGCCATGACCTTGATTATTTTATTTACTAATTTTTTTTGAGTTGGAGTCTCACTCTGTCACCCAGGCTGGAATGCAGTGGCACGCTCACGGCCACCACAGTGTCAACCTACTGGGCCCAGGCAATCCTTCCACTTCAGCCTTCCAAGTAGCTGGAACCACAGGTATGTGCCACCACGCCTGGTTAATTAATTAATTAATTATTGTAGAGATGAGGTCTCATCAAGTTGCCCAGGCTGGTCTTGAACCCTTGGGCTCAGGCAATTCTCTCGCCTACGCCTCCCAAAGTGCTGGGTTTACAAGCGTGAGCCACTGCACCCAGCTTATATGACCATGATTTCACAGCACTTTTTATATAGCCTCCTTAGCTCAAACTGTCATTACCCTCCTCATCTGAATAGTGACTTAGAGTTTTCACAAATGCTGACTCGCTTCCTCTTCACAGTGGTCTTAAGAAGTAGGTAAGAAATAACATTCATGCAACAGCTTACAGCTTACTGTGTACTTTAGTAACAGCAGCTACCTGCATGCAGCTCCCACTTACGTGCCCAGTACAAATATGACTTCATGAGTTTTCATGACAGTCCTAAGTCATAGAATTATCCCTGTTTTACAGATGATGAAACCTGAGGCTAAAGACATCAGATGATGTGTCTAAAGTTTCATAAATGGCAGAGTCAGGCCCACTAATATATGCATACAAATACACACACACACATACACACACACACAACTAGCACTCACATAACATCTTTGAATTGACAAAACACTTTATCAATAACATGCTCCCATTCTGGAGCCAGGCACTGGGCTGAATGTGTTACCCACACTTATGTTGTGTGAAACTCACAAGATCCATGAGAGTGATACTGCTACTTGCCCCACTCTGCAGATCACATAACCTGATCAACAGTACACCTGGGGCAAATGGTAAAAACTGAGTTTTCACTTGAGTCTTACAGCCTCCCTGGGTGGTCAGTGTTACTAAAACTCCTCCCATTGTAAAGATAAAGAACCTAGGCTCAGATGGTTGCCCAAAAATCACACAGCTAGGGCTTGACATCAGGTCTCGGACACCAGGGAATCTTTTCTGAGGCTCACACTTAAATTCTGGGACTAAATGAGATAGCTGCCCTCCAGGTTTATTCTAAGGCCTTGGGTCAAGGCTGGAAGAACTCAGTCCAACACAACCTCTCTGGGGAACCCAGGGTAAGACCAGACAGTGTTCAAATTCCCAAAACCTGCAACTGAGACCCCTCCCCTGCTCCCAGGTGACTCTACCCCACCCATAAGGTCCTCCCTGGAGAGAAGGCAGACAGCTTTGTAGCTGGCCACTCTCGGGCCAAGAATGGGCCAGCTGAGCAGTTTGCTGAGCCTGGGTCCCCAGTTGCAGGGGTGGGCGGGGTGGTGTGTGGAGGAGCAGGCTACAGGATACACCTCTGCCACCCAGGAGCAGATGGTAGGGAAGAGGACTACCCTGGAGCCAGCCTGCCTGGCACAGATCCCAGCTCCTTCACCAGCAGCGGGACCTTGGACACAGGCATCTTAGGCTCTTGGTGTTTACTCACCCATTATTCGGGATAATAACCGTTCTCACGAGGGTATTTGGAAGAATGAGTTAGCATAAAGTACTTGCACAGTGCCTGACACATACTCAGCAAGTGGTAGGTGGAAGCTTGGGCCCATAATCCTGTCTAAAACATTAGGACCAGATGGGCTCAGACTGTTCAGATTTAAGAAAGTAGGCATGATAACACATATGTACATACATATATGGTGTATACATATAATCGCGTATGTATATATTCACATATATGGATAATTACATGTGTCTGCAAATGTAGAATAACATATGTAACATATGTACCTTATATATGGATATTACATAACCCCCCAGAAAGGGCTGGGGATAATACTTTATGATCAAACACATGACTATTTCTGCAATGAAATATAAATATTCACTTTAGGTGTGATTTTTAAAAAATACTATAATTAGTTTCTTTAGAGTCAAGTTTTGTGCCAAACATATTCACATTTTTTTCTCAGTTTTTAGAATATTCTGAATTTTAGAATCGTGGCTAAGAGACTACGGTCCTAATTATCTCCGCATCAACATAGGGACGTGGGCTCCCAAGTCAGAGAAAGCTGGATTCAGTCTCCTCCTGATTCTGGATAAGCTGCTTATCCCTGATAAGCCCTGGCTTCTGTTTCTTAAAAATGAGGATAATCACATATATTTTATGGGGTTTTTGTGAGGACTGAATGAGATCATGCATAGAAAATTCTCAGCTCAGCGTCCGCATCTGCTAAGAAGTCCATTAATGTTAATCCAAATTATGACTAGGATGAGCTCAATAAAATCAAGCCTGCTCTCTCTGGACACTTCTTTAAAAAAAAAAAATCAATCCAGCATCTCTCAGGAGGCACCACCCTCTGGGATGATTTGAACTTAGGGAGGCCTAGCACAGGAAGAGTCAACTGTTCCGGGGACCATCCCAGCTCCCAGTTTCTGAAACTCCAATGCCATGACTCCCCCAGGCTGGAGGCAAATCACAGGCCACCACCCCAGCAGCACAGTGTTGTTAGGCCAGAGCCCAAGGTGGCGGGGAAAGGCCACTTACCTTACACTGATGGCAGCAGGAGCCATGGGCACATTCCGCCCCTGCCTTCAGGGTGCAGTTGGAGGCATTGCAGCAGGGGTTGTTGCACTCCTGGGGGGGCAGTGGAGAGGGTGTGAGCCTCCAGAGGGCAGGAGCCTGGGGCAGGGGGAGCTTCAACACCTCCTGCATTTTCCCCACCCCTGCCCCATGTACTTCTGGAGGCCCAGCTCCCAGGAACACTTCACCCAGAAAATCAATTCATGCCAACATGTACTTATCATAGCAAATACACATAATCAGCCGTAACACCACAATGTAGAGGCAGCTGCATTTCTTCTTCTGAGACAAGGTCTTACGTCATCAAAGATCACTGTAGCCCCGACTTCCTGGGCTCAAGCGATCCTCCCGCCTCAGCCACCAGAGTGGCTGGGACTATAGAGGTACACCACATCTGGCTAATTTTTAAATTTTTCTTCTTAGGAGTTTGGGTTTGGGTATGTTTCCCAGGCTTGTCTCAAATTCCTGGTCTCAAGTGATCCTCCCACCTTTGGCCTCTCAAAGCACTGGGATTACAGGTGTTAGCCACCGCAACCAGTCTAATACAGCTACATTTTCAGTGTGAATACTTTCCAAGGCATTCTCTCTCTCTCTCTCTCTCTCTCTCACACACACACACACACACACACACACACACTTATACTTATTTTACAAAATCATAGTATTCACATCATTTTTAACTTAACATAATATGCACATTTCTCCTTGTGATCATGCATTCTTCTAAAACATGCATTTTAGCATAGTATCACACTATGTAGAAATTCTGTGATTTTTCTCATCCCCAACAGAACAACCAGACATTCTTTTATGGCCGCCCTCCCTACCTGCAATAGTCCCAGGTCTTATTATAAATCCCATTAAAGGAGACCATGGGGCCAGATGTGCTGGAACAACCTCTCTGAACAGTTTGTGCAACTCTCGAGTCTATTTCTTCAGGTTTCTTTCTCCATCTGTTGCTCTTCCTAAACCCTCCCTGGCCTGGACCTTTTGGAACATAACGTCTCTAGGAGTTTCTTGCTCTCCTCTCTTTCTTCCTGTGCCACAAGCTTTTATCTTACTTACTTTCTTTCTTACTTACTTTATTATTTATTTATTTATTTATTTATTTATTTATTTATTAAGAGACAGGGTCTCGTGCTATTGCTCAGGCTGGAGTACAGTAGTGCAATCACTGCAGCCTTGAACTCTTGGACTTAAGTGATCCTCCCACCTCGGTCTCCCAACTATAAGTGCTGGGACTACAAGTACCACTTCTCCTAGCTATTTTTTTTTTAATTTTTGTAGATAGATATGGGGTCTCACTATGTTGCCCAGACTGGTCTCGAACTCCTAGCCTCAAGCAATCATGCCACCTGGCCTCCCAAAGTACTGAAAATACAAGCATTAATCACCGTGCTGGGCCCCAGCCTGAGATTTTAAAAGAATGATGAGCTCCCCCAGTGGCTCTGAGTGTCCTTATCACACCTAAAAAATTCACAGGCCAATCCATACATCATTTGCTGACAATGTGCTGGCTCCATACATTTCTCCCTTTCATCCCTGTGGGGGCAGCACTGTCCTCATTCCACAGATGGGGAAATGCGGTTCAGACAAGCCCAGTGCTGGCTGAGGCACAGACCTGCCAAGTTCAAGTTATGTCTGTCTGGAGGCCGTCCCATGTTGATTAGCCATGTCATAACTGTCCAGGTCTAGCATGTTGGAGAGACACATCCCACTGCCTAGACAAGACACCTGTCCACCTGTTTCCCCTAAGAGAAGAAACAGGGGCACTTTCCTCCCATGCCTGAGCTCCGGGCAGACCTGTGTATCCTGCCTTTCTAACATCCCCTGTTTCTTCCCATCTCAAGGCCCAGGCTCCTCCTCTACCTGAAACATGCCTTTCCTCCTGTGCTGCTAACTCCAAACACAGTCATCAGACATGGGCTCCGCAGTCACCACCACGCAGGACAGCACCCCCATCATGTTCCACCTGTTTAGAGCACCAGGCAGTGTGCCCTTCCAGCACATGCCACGGGCTGTACTTATCCACTTCACAATTATGTGGTCAATGTGTGTTTCCCCCACTAGCTCCTTGAGGACAACGACTATGTCTATTTTTGCCACCCATCTTATCCCTAGCACCCAGCACAGTGACCTACACTCAGTGAGTAGCTGTTGAATGAGCAGCTGCTTAGAATAGAAACCAACTGGCCCCACTCTTGACTGACCCCACCGGGCCTTCCATGATGGCGGACCCTTTCTGAAGGCTCAGGGCTAATATCTCTGGGCAAATAGTGGTGGGGGTGGTGACATCTTAGCTAGTGCTTGTTTTATTTTGAAAGTTATAAACTGATGTTAAAAAAAGAAAATCAGGCCCAGTGTGGTGGCTCACACCTCCCAGGTGCTCTGGGAGGCTGAAGTGGGAAGATCGCTTAAGACCAGGAATTTGAGATCAGCCTGGGCAACACAGTGAGACCCCATCTCCACAAAAAAATTATTAAAAAAGGAAAATCATATCATAGAGAAGATTATTAAATCAAATCTTTTCTTCCGAATATATGGAATCTTAGTCTCATTCCCATAGTTTACTGTTACTCGTGTATTCTACCCCAAATTGTTATGCATGCTTTAACATACATATTTTGTCCTTCAAAAAGCAGACATGAAACAATCCAGTTCTGCTTTTTGCAGAACAACATGCATTTGTTGACAATGACTGAGCTCCATTGCATGCCCAGGATACCCCCTTTGAAGGTCAGAAGGGAGGAAAGAGCTTATACACACACAGTTCTGCTGCTTCTTTCTCCTACCAGCCCTTTCGAGACTCGATGGCACTTCTCACATCCCCTTTCAGTCATTTCTTCTCCAGGCTAACCAGCATGGGCTTGTTATTTTAAGTATCCTCCTAAGGCCCATGTTCAAGTCTGAATATCCAGCTGTGTGGCCTCCAGAACAAATTCAGTACAGCTGGAGGGCCGAGGAGGCATCTGCAGTCCCACTGGAGAAGAGAGAGCCAACATGCCGTGTGACTGCGGTTTCTGGTTCGCCCAGATGCTCACAAGAAGAACTAATCTTGGACACAAATAGTGCCAACACAAACTGGTAGAGGCCACAGAAACACTCCATCTGGAGGGCTCCACTCACCACATCTTTTTTTTTTTAAGATACAGGTCTTACTCTGTCACCTAGGCTGGAGTGCTATGGTACAGTCATAACTCACAGCAGCCTTGACCTCCTGGGCTCAAGAGATCTTCCTGACTCAGCCTCCTGAGTAGCTGGGACTACGGGCATGTGTCACTACACCCAGCTAATTAAAAAAAAATTTTTTTTGTAGAGATGGGGCCTCACTATGTTGCCAAAGCTGGTCTCAAATTCCTGGTCTCAAGTGATCTTCCTCCTGCTTTGGCCTCCCAAAGTGCTGGGATTACAGGTGTCAGCCACCATCCCAGCCTCTCTCCATATCTTATCTGCCATGGGGTCTTAAATGGCCATGTGTAGGAAATGCCTGTGATCAGCAAATTTTCAATTGCATTTTATATTGATCTTGAGCTTTGAAACCAATGCAACTTCTTCCCTTCCCGCCAGCACCACCGTGACCCCTCACCTCCTCCTCTCCACAGTCACACTCTTCCCCATCTTCCAGGTACCCGTTCCCACATCTCCGGCCTCCATACAGCGTCCTGGTGTCCGGCATGTTGGAGAGACACATCCCACCGCCCGACTGCAGATACCTGTCCAGCTCCTTCCTGTTGCAGCCGTTGAACACTCGAGGAAAGGGATGCCTGGCAGGGGATAAGGCTGGACTTAGCTGGAAGTCTGAGTATCCAGCAACCAGACAGCTGTCAATCCTGCAATCCATGGGGCTGACTCCATTTGGGCTCAGATCCCTATGGTCCTATGCACATACACTTTGCCATGTTAGAACATCTACCCGATACATTCTTTCATCTCTAATGATGAGATAGTAACCACCCTATCACATTGTAGTCTTCTTACTCTGCGCTGAGGAAGTGTTTGAGAATTAAGAGTAGCAATTTCCCCTTGCATGAGGAAGTTGCAATAAGTAAAAGCCTTAGAGCTGAATAAAATACCAGCCAACCCAAGCTTTTCCTGAAGCTAGTACCAGATGGATACTCTCTTGCGACAGAGGACCAGTTCAAAAAAGGTCAGGACCATGGATTTCATTCCTTTGTGGGCCAATGATCTGAATTCTGTTCTAAGGCTGGAGAGGGCACTCCAAACTCAACCAACCAACCCATAAACACATGCTCTTTATCATAGGAGTATGGAAGATCCTGGGTCCCACTGCTGAGAAAAAAATATAAAAAATACCACCCTTTGGGTTTACAAAGAGTGTTTTAAATTCTCCAAGCCAATTGAAGAGTAAACACTGGAGGATTTCCTTCAGTGGAAGGTATGCTACAAGGAATTTGTTACTAATAATAAACTATTAAAATTTGTGAATAATTTAAAAACGAAATGGAGTAGTAATTAATATAACTCTCAATCATCTGCCTACAGATATGCTTTTTAGATCAGGAGAGAAAGGGTTACACTTAACCATGAGCACACAGGCATTTGAGCGTGACCCATGAAGTTATATCCTGTATATCACCATCCTTTCTGTGTCACAGGAAGCAACAGCAACAAAAAAATACTGGACACTGGAGCTCTAAGAAAGTTGCACTTCCTCTTGGAGATGTGGAAACACCTATTCTCTAAGAAGCCTAAGCAGTCCCTAATGATCTGGGGTGAGGGAACACAAGGTCCCAACATGATATCTTCTGAGAAGCCTGGAAGATCCCAGTGCTTTGTACTAAGACCAGACACTAGAAGAGAAGTCCTTTGAAGATTCTGGTTTAAAAAATCTCTCACTACTGGGAGATATAGCCTGTCATGTCCTCGTTCCTTGTGGATAACACAGCCTGCAAGTTCCCTGAGTGGGTGGATGGTCCCCTTCCTCACCTGAAAGCCTGGGATGTAACAGCACTGATCAGACTCCCTTAGATGGAAGAACTAAGGGTTGAGGCTGCTATCAAAATGGGTCCTCATTAAAACTTCATGAAGCAAAACAGACATAGACGGTCTGGCCCATTTTACTCAGCTGAAGACCCTGAGACGGAAGACAAGTACATCTAGAGTTTTGCCAACACCAAACCTCCTGTTGGAAACATACTGCTCCCTCCACACACTTGCCTTATGGTCCTCTTCCAATTTCTTGGTTGTAAGAACCACATTTCTCTCCAAAGTCCCACCAGAAGTATAACAGAGGCTCGCTGGGGCAGCTGGGAGGAAGCCTTGGGTCACACTAGCCGGGTATGCCCCATCCTCCTCCCCATTCTCCCCCTTCCTGCTAGACTCACCCGGTGGCAGCTGCCATGATGCATCCACCATCAGCTGCACTGGCCGAGCAGCAATCTGCAGAATCGTGGCTCATGCCAAAATTGTGGCCTATCTCATGGGCCACGGTGGCAGCAGCACCAATGGCATTCTCAGAGTGATCCTGTTCAGGGAGAGTGTTGAGGTCAAGGTCAAGGGGGTAACTCAGCTTTTGCCCCATTCCTGCCTTTCCTCAGCCAAGCCTGGGAGGTCTCCTCTGGTTCTACTTTGCTGAGCACACAGGTTCCCCATACACACCTCTGACAGGAGGGCTAAAGCCATTGTCATTATTAGGAAATCAAATGTTTGAAAGTTCATGTTTCCTGAGTTCTCAAAGGTGCAGAACACATCTGACCCCCTGACGAATTCCCAGATCAGTCAATGCTTTCTGAATAAATGAAAGAGGATTTCCTCCTTCCTCTTAACGTTACGTTTCTCCAGATGTGAGGGAACTGACATAGAAAACACCACTCTGATTCAAACACAGGGTGCACTCAGCTCAGTGTTTTATTTTACTTTTTATTTTTATTTTGAGTTAGAGTCTCACTCTGTCATCCAGGCTAGAGTGCAAGTGGCACAATTATGGCTCACCATATCCTTGACCTCCTGGGTTCAGGCGATCCTTCTGCTTCAGCTTCCCATCAGCTCAGTGTTTTCTGAGAGCCCCCCAAAATAGATACATCCCAGACACAGCACCCGGAGTAGTGTCTGATGTATAACTGTCAGAAGCAAAAGCTAAACAAGTAGATTTGGAAAAAAAAAAAAAAAGCCTGCCAAACAGAAGCAGCAAAAAGAAGGCAGGGCTTGGTGGTTCAAGGCAGGAGGATTGCTTTAGGCCAGGAGTTTGAGACCAGTCTGGGCAACAAAGTGAGACTGTCTCCACAAAAAATTTTTTTTAAAGTTAGCTGGGCATAGTGTGTGTTGCCTGTAGTTCCAGCTACTTGGGAGGCTGAGGCAGGAGGATCACTTGAGCCCAGGAGTTCCAGGCCACAGTGAGCCATGATTGTGCCACTGCACTCTAGCCTGAGAGACAAAGCAGGACACTGTCTCAAAAAAAAAGTACCCAAAAGAGGTATGCCAAACATATGTGTGTTTCTTGCATTACTTCACTTAACTCCCATTCTTAATTCTTATTTATCCTAAGATTATAAACTGTAAAATGATCTCTATTTTACAATTGAGGACACTCATTAAGTCGCCCAAAGTCACACAGCTATTTTTTTGAACCCAGTAGTACTTTGCCAATCAATAGAGAATAGATGAAGGGACAGACAAGTGGATGGCAGGCTTCCTTGATCTCCACTTCACATATCGGAAATAAAGAGTCAAAACACTCCCACAGAGTCAGAACGAATTTCAAAAGAAGGCAGCCATTTCCTAGCCATGACTTTGAGATAGGCTCTTGTTTCATAATGACACAAATAACAATGCAAGATCTGGAATCTCTTTCTAGTTTATTCTCTTCCCAGCTCCCCAGCTGCTGGTTTGGAACATATGAGAGATCTAATGATGTGCTCATGAAATTGCTTCATGGTTCTGAGCTTGAAAATTAGGAATAAACTACAATCAATGAAAATTCACCCTTTGGGATCTCTGTCTCTTAGAACTTAATGACTTCATTTTAAACAATTGCCCTTCCTGATGTCACAAGCTTTTTTACTGCAATAATAAATATCAAATTATGATGGCCTCCTGTCTTGTGAAGCAGTTTAAGTGCTTTCCTACAGCACCAATGTATAGGCAAGACTCACCATGTTGACTCCTCCAGACTGGTACACGGAGCACATGGCCATGAGCGGGGCCAGGCCGATGGTGGTACCGTGGAAAGACATGCCCCTGCAAGAGGCAAGGAGAGAGTGGGACTCGGGTGAGGACTGAGAGGGCTGTTCCAATGTGCCTGGGAGTAGGTAGCTACCATAGTGTTCCTTGGCTCCACTGACATCCCCAGGTCATTCCCCAAGGGAGAAGTCCTGGTATCCAGGCCAACTGGACAACTTCCAGGTCACCACACCTCTCACTTCCTCTCACCTACTCCCTCACTTCTCCAGAGAGAGTGAAAGGTCACTTTTCCCTACAACATGCCCACAGCCAATTATCTGGAAGGAAATGGGCAGGGCTTGCAAAGCTGTATCCCATTCCTGCTGCACAGGAAAAGGTTGGAGGGAGGGGTACATGGGAGGGTGGCACAGGTTCTGATGCTGAAGTGAATCATGCCCACTTCCGCCAGCTGCCAGGGTCCCATGCCTTATCCTGGCTCTGCGGTGTGTGTCCTGGGAAGAGGGCCATATCGGGGCAGCAGCTGTGGGGCTGATGCTTCATTCCCACATCACTCTGGGGCCAAGAAAACAGCTATGTCTCATCAGAAGCTCACAGAGTGTGGCTGGGTGCAAGGGTGAGCTGTTTCTGCCTCTGTTTTACAAAAAAAATGGTGATCCTAATTTGTCAACAGAAAACTACACATTCCCCAGTTGAACACAACCCTCTTTCAGTTGTATGCATCCCAGGTAGGGGAGAAGAAATAAATAAAATACCAGTGCTTTTGTGTACGCTACAAACATGTAACATATTAAAAGGGTCTCTATGGAAATTCATCCCGTGGCACATATTGCCATGTTTGTCTTATCTAGACCATGATAATCTTGGGAGCGAGATCTCCTTCTTTCTTTTGGGATCACGAGAACCTAACATAGAATGTGACATACAATGGGAGCATAATAAATGTCTGCTGAATGAAAGGTAGACATCATCAGAGAAACAATCTGCAAATAAATATGCAAAACATGTGCAAATCGATATGAAGCCCCATTGGTTACTTTCTAAACTTAAACATGGCTGTGAGGAGGTCCTACTGCAAACCCAGATACACAGGCTGATCCAAAGCAGCTGCCATATTTTCAAAGTTTAGGCCAAAAGTCTTGGTAACCAAAGCCTTTTCCTAGGTGAATGTATTGTTATGACAGAACTACTCACAGCCCAGGTTCAGGGGACATTTTTTTCCCCTGATTTCTTTTAAAAAGTAAGTCAAGGCTTAAGTTATTGGCGTAGAGCTATATTTAGGGAATGGAAGAAAATTAGTTTTTTTGTCTGTTATCTATTCTTATCTATTTTCAGTTATTACCTTTTGTTGTTAACTGCCTCAAAATCCCTTCAGAAGCCAGCACTGATAAATACCAAATAATCACCCTTAGGGGACCATCCTGTGCCACCATGACCCCCATTAATATCAGTTCTCTCCTCTCCAAGACTGATGAAAATCCAGGACAATCCCACCTCAACACCTTCCTCCCATCACAAGCTCAGTTCCTGCATTATCACCTATCTCAACACCTTCCTCCCACCACAAGCTCAGTTCCTGCACTATCAACCACTTTAACAGTCTCCGGCAGTCAGCCCTGAGCTCCCTGGGAACCAAGAGCCCCTCTCCTGTGCCTGTGTTGGGAGATCAGCTCATGTACTAGAACAAAGTACCAAGAAGATCAAGGTGAGCCCCTTTTCTAAGTGGTCATGACCAACAGTAAGTCCCTTCCCAAACACATGCTCAATTGTTTCAGATGCTCAACTGATTATGGGTAAGTCTAACTTTCTCACTTAGATTGTAAGCTCTTCTTAGGACTGTTATGACTCTCAGACTTTTTAATATTTTCCAGGGTATGCAGGGTACATCGAACACATCTGAGAAATGCCTGATTCTCTGGCCCAGGGAGTTGGGATGGCCTTGTACAGCCACCATTCACCACGAGGGAAAGAAAGGGGCAAACTGAGCATGGGCACCGTGGGGAGAGGTATGCGGCCAAGGCCAATGCAATACAAGGGAGAGGCTACTTACGTGATTAACTGAGCATTGTCATGCTTCTTCTGGGCAAGCAGCTTGCGCCTCCAACTAAGAAATGACCAAAGGGTAGAGTAGGGATTTTCTGAAACTTCACACATATTCCCATGAGTCCACACTTCCAAGCCCACAAGGGCAATGCGGATGTTCAAGGATCGGTAAAACTGAAAGACACACAGAAAAGCTGTAGGAGCCGTCGCCAGCACCTGGGGTCTAACAGCCCTTTCTAGCCTAAGAGCTCAGAGCGCAGATGTCAGATTTCTCTCCTGCCCATGGTTCCAAGCAGAGGTGGGAACTAGTATTCCTGATGTTTTTCAGAAGGGGAAAATGAGATCCTGAGAGGGATATACAGTGTTCTGGTGGCAGAACTATGTGACTTCACTTAGAGAGAATGAGCCAGCGCGTAAAGTTGCTTTCTAATATGTACAGGGCTGTTATGTGGGGAAAAGACCTTCACTGCTCTGTATCATACTCAAGCAGGGCTTAGGTCCACAGGTAAAATAGACAGGTAGATAAACTTCATTTTAAAATAGGAAAAAAGGTTTTCAAAGCAAAACTGGCAGTGAGCAAGTTTGGAGCCAAGCTTTGCTGTCTTCTGAACCCAGTGCCTGTGGCCCGGCTGCCTGTCACGATTTCCTCTCCCGTTCCTCACAAGGGCCTTATCTTTTGTACATGTATCTAAAAAGTTCTCATGCATATGGATTTTTAAAAACAACTTGACTGAGATATAATTTACATACCATAAAATCCACCTACTTTAAATGTACAGCTTAATATTTCTTAGGAAGTAGGCCAAGTTATAAAGCCATCATCACAATCCAGGCTTAGAATCTCTTTTTATCACATCGGTAAGACGCCTCATGTCGGTTGAGTCATTTCCCATTCTTGCCCCCAGCCCCAGGCAACCATTAATCTGCTTTCTGTCTCTACAGATCCGCCTTGTCTGGATTTTTTTTTTTTAACAAATTGAATCATACAATATGTGGTCTTTTGCATTTAGCTTCTCTCACAGAGTATCATGTTTTGAGATTCATCCATGTTGTAGCCTGTATCGTTTGTCATCCCTTTTTATGGATACAATTATTCTATTGTACAGATATACCAAAGTATACATGGTTTATTGTAAAAAGTCTCCCACTCATTTTGAAAGTAAATGATATACAGTAGATAGACATGCGTACTCACAAAAGTTTCTTTCCCTATCCCTGGAGGTGTTAGGACTTTGTCAAAGATAACATAAACAGGGTGCAAAAATACTCTGTAACCTTTGGGTTTTTGTCCAGTTCAAAAGCCCTGATGTTCTATAAACAAGACCTGACTCTTGATCTCTTTAAGGCTGGAGCTATATCCAACCCACCCTTCTCAGCTGGCATCTTCCATCTCCTACAAATGTAAGTAGAAAGAGGCTTTCCTTGAAAGGTAAACCCCTGGAAGGTGGGATGCAAAGAGTTCTCAAATGCATCTACTGAAATACTGGGCCAGTGACTTTTGTAAAAAGTCCCATATACAGAGAGGTCACAGGAGCAGAAGATACCATCTTAATCTAAAATTGGCAGGTACTGTCCCAGTTAAAAATAATACTCTTAGCACCAGTGTTTATCAAGCACTTCCTCTGTACTAAGTACTGAGGCTGAGAGAAGCTAAGGAACTTGCCCAAGGCCCCAGGAGGAAGATGGTAAAGCCAGGATGAAGGCTCAGTACACAACCCCTAAGCTTCCTAGTGACCCTGTACCGCCGGAGTACTACAGTACTGACACATCCAGATCATCAACCCTCCCCCTGCCCCTTGCCATGAAACGGCGGTCTAAGACAGGCTCCAGATTCAGCCAAGTATCCGTTTATTTTCACGGAAATTTTGATTTTTCTGTTCTGTGCCAGGTCAATCCTTACAGAAAATAAAGAATCCGAATTCCAATTTTAATTTGCTTTCCTAGGGAGCTTTTTAAGAAAGTAAACTTGGCTTTTTCACAAATAAAGAAAAACATTTTGGATTGGGCTCATGATTCAGCAAATTAGTACAGTTCATTACAGTTTTAGTTCAACAAGGGTTCAGCTCAAGTAGCTGGGTCAGCAAGTTTCAGAGAAGCGGGTGTGCCTTCCTCGGCCCAGTCAGTGACTAATCTCAGCTGTTGAGGAGGGAACCCAGATGGCTTCACAGCCAGACACGCCAGTCAGGCGTGGCCTTCAAGTAAGGATTGGGACTTGCTGATGGCTCTCTTCTCCCTTCACTTGTCATCAGCACGCTTTGCTCCATCACCCAGCCAGGCTGCAGAGTTCACAGAGGGGAGACGCAGCCAAGACCCTACCTGCCAGGTCTCCAGAACAATAGATGTCACATGGATGAGAGCAGGGTCTACCTCATGCATCCCTCCAGGGAAACAAGCTATTCTTGTTTTCCCAGATACTAAGTGTTTGGGTTGTAGGATTATTCCAATATTATGGTTGAGTGAGTCGGGAGCTAGAGAGAGGACTGGACTGGGTCCCCAGAGTCCTTCCTTACAGGAAATGTCAGTGTTTTGATTTTCACCTGTCACTGACCACGGACCTTTGTTTCCAGAGTCATCTAGGGCAGAATAGAAACAAGGGGCACAGAACCAGCCATCTGACAGCTTCAGAATACCACCATATTTGCTTGTTAAGCCCCAGAAAATATTTGAAGTTCTCTTCTTTATCCTCTAGTGTTTAGGAGAAAGTGATTTCCCCTTTTGACCTGGGATTCATGAATCTCTTGTAGGTCCAGAATTAAGCTTCAGAAGTTTTGTGAGTGTCCTAAAATTGTACAGCGAATATTATCAGATTCTCAGAGACTCGTGACTTATGATCCTAAACACATTAAAACCTTCTTTGTAAAACTATACACTGCTATATATTATTCTAGGTTTCCCACTCTGTATTTTGTACCATAGCAAACACCCTCCTTCATATATACAAAGTATTTCCAAGTCTCAGACCAGCCTGTTCTGGTAAAATTTTTAAATGTGGTTATTTCCTAATAGCATGTTGTAGGAGACCTAGGAGAGTTAACCATTTGCACATTCTTCCTGAGGACAAGAATGAGTTTTAGGATTGTTTTACAGATGGAGACTTTACAGATTGACCCCGAACAACCCACTTCTCAACTTTCAAACCTTTCCTGCCTTCACCTACCTCAGTTCCCTCCTAAGTTAGAGAATCCCTGGGCTTTATACCTGGAAAGAACCTTAAAGGGTTCTTAAACTGGGTTCCTCCATTCCCCAGATTCCTCAGGAGCCAGTGCAAGTGTTTAAAGGAAGGGGTCAGAAAGTCCTCTGGTCCACTAAACTCTATTTCAGTTTAGAATGGCCTGTTTTCATCTGACTTTAAAAAAATGTTTCTTTCTTCTCTTTGCATTGTGGGGTCTGAACATCTGACTTTTACACAAGACACTGGCATACAATTTCATTTTTTAAAAAAGGATTCTGCCAGAAAAATAAAAATAACAAAATGTCATTGATTTGGGACACCCTCTCTGTTTTATAAAATAAAAACAAGACAAATCAAACAAACAAAAATCTGCAAGCAGAGGAAATGAGTTACTTGCCTAAAGTTACATAGGTGAGGGCTTTGTCATGACCACCCTGAGCCTCTACGGCATTGTTCATTCCCTTTAAGAAGGGGCTGGGTGGCTGATCCACAGAAGATAGCTCAGGCACCACGTGGTCTCCTGGCCTGTGGCCCCTCTGAGGTGCTGGCACCTGGCGTCTGTCCCACAAAGTACACACCTGGTCTCACCTTATCAACATAGTTGGCGATCTCTATGAGCTTGTGTTTGGTGGCGTCTTCGTCTCGTCGATTCTTCTGAAACTAAATGGGACAAGCAGAACCAGGTGAGCTCCCAGAACCTCTTGCAGCACCTTTCCTGTGCCTGTTACTTGTCTTTCTTTGAATTTGTTCTTATCTTCCTCTGTCTTCTATGACCAGTCATTTTTAGGCAACTATCCTCCTTATCACAATGACACCTTGTGGAGGGCAGGACCTGGTCACACCCCTTCTTGGTATACTTGCTACTAGCTCAGTGCAGAGCACACAGCAGGCATGCAATCATTGTGTAGGGAACTGAATTGTCTTCCTCTAATTCTCGATGTTAATCTTATTCTCCCGCCTTTCAAATTACAAGGCCTCTGACAAACGTTGGGGCTTAGAAGGGGGATTGATCTGATCCTTGCCTCTGTCATTAGCTCAACATGAAGCCACCATCACACAGGTCTCATGAGGCTCTACAGCATGTGGTCAATCAACAACATGTTGCCTAATGTCTGCCAGGGGCAGGCATTGTGCCTAGCGCTAGGTAGGACACAAAGAAGTGTGAGATCTTGGTCCTCGCCTGAAGCAGCTTCAGTTAAAACAGAGAGAGCACCAGAAATAAATACAACGGCATATCCTGTATTTAAGGAGTGCACAGTTGAAATGGCCTGAGAGAACATGTACAGAAATAACCACAATGGGAGGCCATGTGAATGACACATGATGGGCGCTGGCAAGGAGAACCACAAGATGCTGGCAAGTACTTCATCTTGCCTGCCACTCAGACCCAATGGCAGTGCCTTCTCCATGTGAGGATTCTAAGACTGCATCAGACTGAAATCAGACATTCCTAATCGAGCACAGGAGAGGCAACTGTGCTCCATTAGAAATGTCTGCCACGGGTACCAGAAAGGGGACATTTCAGCATGAATTCCTCACAGTTAGCATTTCTGTCACAAAAGGACAGAAATCTTTCAGCTGCAATGATAAAGGAAAGCTTCATAGTGTAATGAAAAATTCTGTTGTAAATGCAAATTAAATTCACAAATGATGGGCATGTCCTATATGCTGCTGTTGTTGCATATAATATTGTCTCCACAATAAATAAATTTTTAAAATCCGCATGTAATTCCAGCTACTCAGGTGGTTGAGGCAGAAGGACCACTTGAGGACAGGAGCTCGAGACCAGCTGGGGAAATAAAGTGAGACCCTATCGCTGTAATCTGGAAGGCACCTCTTTAAATTTACCTTGGGTTCCTACTATACATGTTACTTCAACTCCAAACCTTCACTTCCTTCCTCTATTGTATCCCAAAAGAATATCTAAGCAAGAACCTCTAACCTTTATTTCCTTCCTGCACCCCATCACACAAGAATACCTAAGCAAGAAACAAGAAGAATAGCCAAATTAACACCTAAATTAAACTATCCAGCTGGGTAAAGAATCCACCATTTCCTCTTCTCCCACTGCTTTTGGACATTCCTGAGCTTCCTTAAAACTGCCACTTACCAGGAGAGAATCTCACTGTCACCACTGCTTTCTTTCTTTCTTTTTTATTTTTATTTTTTGAGTTGGATTCTCACTCCATTGCCCAGGCTAGAGAGCAGTAGCATACTCATGGCCACCCCACAGTCGACCTGCTGGGTTCTGGCGATCCTTCCACCTCAGCCTCCCAAGTAGCCAGAACTACAGGTGCAAGCTACCACACCCAGCTAATTTTTTGATTTATCATAGAGATGAGGTCTTGCCAAGTTGCCCAGGCTGGTCTCGAACCCATGGGTTCAGGCAATCCCCTCACCTTGGCCTCCCAAAGTGCTGGGATTATAGGCTTGAGCCACCATGCCCGGCCTCACCACTGCTTTCTAGAGTTAAATTCAGTGTGGCACCCTGTGACTTAGACCTTTCTGAGGTGTAAATCCAGAAGTTCCTCATTATTGAGGCCTGCCATTTCTAAAGTTGGTCTTATGGCAGAGAAAGTGTTGCAGCATTTCCACTCATTTAGTAATGTATATTAGAAAATCAGGGTCAGGCTTCATTGTCTTTCAAATATAGTACTTCTATCATCAAACAGCTGCCCTATGAAGGGCAGGGTGTGGTGGGTGGCTCACACCTGTGATTTCAGTACTTTGGGAGGACAACGTGGGAGAACTGCTTGAGCCCGAGTTCAAGACCAGCCTGGACAATATAGCAAGACCTGGTCACTACAAAAAATAAAAATAAAGTTTAAAATTTACTGGGTGCGGTGGCTTAAGCTTGTAATTCCAGCTACTTGGGCAGTTGAGGCAGAAGGACCACTTGGGACAGGAGTTCAAGACCAGCTGGGGAAAAAATTATTAAAATTAGTCATGTGTGGTGGCATGCACCTACAGTCCCAGCATGGGAGGCTGAGGTGGGAGATGGCTTGAGCCCAGGAGTTCAATGCTGCAGTGAGCTGTGATCATGCCACTGCACTTCAGCCTGGGCGACAGAATGAGACCAAAACTCAAAAAATACAAAAACAAAAAAACTTCCCAATGAGGCCATCTTAATTTCAGGGGTGGATGCTGCTGTCTAGTATAGTCTGAACCAGTAGTGGGCAAAACTTTCCTGCAAAGGCCTAGAGTACAATAAGCACTCTAGGCTTCGTAGGCCGTGTTGTCTCTGCCACAACCCCTCAACTCTGCTGTGGTGGCTCAAAAGCAGCCCTGGATACCACGTAAGCCACAGGCCTGGTCATGTCCCAGGAAAGCTTTGTTGACAAAAACCTGGGGTGGCTGGATTTGACCACAAGTTGTGATTTGCAGACTCCTGGTCTAGAGAAAGGAGTATCTCGACTTTCCATCTTCTAGGGTAATACAGGAAGTGCCACACACAGCGTGTCCTTTCCCAGTGACCTCACATCGTAGGGGCACCATGGAAGTCCTTTATGGGCCTGTGTTACAGCTGTCCTGTTCCATCCTGCAACCTCCCACCTTACTCTTTGTTCCACTAGGATTCTGTTCCACCTAGGGAATGAATATGCCGAGAACCATCTGGGAGCTCCCACCTAGGCCCACGGAGTGAGAAGCTGCCTGCTTCTTTTTCCTGCTGACAGATCTCTCTCTAGCTGCAGCACCAGTGTGTCTTGCTTCCTCTGCCTTTGTCTCCACTCTCCGTTCTGAGTTCAGAGCCCAGAAAAGAAGGCTGTCCTGTCTCAGCACCAGGCTGTAAATCACAAGAAGGCAGCCCTCCCCTTCCCCATCTTCCCATCTGCTCAGATTAATTAATTGTCAGAAATACATTTCTGCCTGCAGAGGAGAGGGCTCTGGAAGAGAGAGTGAGAGGTGGTGAGGAGCTGATTCTCGGGCCTGTGAGCCCAGCCTGTCCCATGACATCCTGCCCCAGTCCCGCCCAAGAAGCACTCAAAGCCAAGGGGTACCCAGGACCCTGAGAAATGAACACATTCCCTCACCCACCCCGGCTGCAGGGATCACAGCCCTGCCGGGAGTCCAGGGCTGTTGCTGAATATATTCCCCTTTGTGACAGGAAGACAGCTCTAGGCAACACCATTGTCCTGGAGGCACCTTGAGCTGTCACTTTTCTTCTTTTTTAAATTTGTGTGTGTGTGTGTGTGTGTGTGTGTGTGTGTAGACTTAGTTTCAATATTTTCTGTTATTTATTTATCTATTTATTTATAGCTAGGGTCTCAAATTGTTGCCCAGGCTGGAGTGCGATGGCATGATCATGGCTCACTGCAGGCTCCAACTCCTTGACTCAAGTGATCCTCCCTCCTCAGCCTCCCAAATAGTTGGGGCGAGAGGCAGGTGCCACCACACCTTGCTAATTTTTTATTTTTATGCTTTTGTAGACACAGAGTCTTGCTTTGCTGCCTAGGCTGGTCTCAAACTCCTGGACTCAAGCAATCCTCCTACCTTGGCCTCTCAAAGTGCTGGGATTACAGGCAATGAACCACTGCGCCTGGCCAGACACTATTCTTCTGGGGGCTTGTGGTGATGCTGTAGGTCAGGAGACAGAAGATGCCCGATCCCTGCCCTACCTCTCACTTCTCTGGCTGCTGGAGACTCACACCCAGTGGGTTTAAAATCCTGCACCGAGATTCCTCTGGAGACAGTGCCAGGCCAAAGGGGAAAACACCCCACCTTTAAACTAGAGCAGCTGGATTTCTACTGCTTAACTGGGGTCCCCAGGAGCTTTTATCTGATCAAAGGATGCTGTAGCTAAAAATAAAATAAAATAAAATAAAATTCCAAACTACTGTATTAGATACTTTTAGATGCAAAACTTAAACAGAAAAAAGTTCTTGAGTCAGAGGATCTGCTTTCTTCCAGAAACACTCCTGCTATGGGCAGTTGTGCAGGGCAGGGGCCAGAGTCATTACCTCCTCCCATGACTACAGAGCCATGGCTGGCTTTTCAAGCAGCTTTGCTCCCCACACCACTCCCTCATCCTATATACACACTAGGCTTTGGAGAGGAAACAAAAAACACAAAACACACACCCTACACACACATACACACACACAGTTGCTGGAAAAACCAATACCAACATCAATTAAAAAGCTAAACTCTTCTAAAAGTGGAACACGATGTTCCCTCAGCCTAAAATAGTCTTCACCTCCACTTCTCTGCTCAGATAACTCCTCCTTGTCCTTAAGACAGCTCAAAGACCTCTTCCTCCTCCTGCCACTAACACTCAGCAACTGCACTCAAAGGCCTCCTGACCCGAAGTCTAGTGTTCCTCCCACTCCCTGGCACAGCTTCTGGGACCCACGCTTTGGGATTGTGATGAGGTAAAGGTGCCTTGGAAAGGGCCCTTTTGAGGAACTGTAGCTAAACCATTAGCATGGAGTTGTATGAGTTCTGACCTGGGGGAGCCCAAGGCCGGGGTGCACCGTGTGAGAACAAAGTGAGTGTTCAGCTCATCGTGACATCTGGTACACTAAGAGGCCCTGCTTAGTTACATGGCTGAGTTACTACACAAAGTGAGAATGGAGGTAATCCCAGGTTAATTTAGCTAAATGTAGGCTCTGGGGCCTGAACCCATTCTTCAGATGTCAGCTTCAACATCAGTGCCTCAGAGAAGTTTCCCCTAGTTCCCAAAACCACATTTGATCACCCATTATCTGCATTCTCCTCCTACCCAATGGTCCATCTCAGTGGTTACCATATTTGGAACTATACAGTTTTTGTGCTGTTATTATAAACTCTGGGATGCCAGTGGTGAGTCTGTCTTCTTGAGAGATATATCCCAAGAAAATCAAGGCCAGATACCATGATGCATGCCTATAATCCCAGCACTCTGGAAGGCCAAGGTAGAAAGATTACTTAAGGCCAGGAGTTCAAGACTAGCCTGGACAACACAGCAAGACCCAACTCCACCAAAAAATAAATAAAAATTAGCCAGGTGGTACATGCCTGTAGTCCTAGTTACTTGGGAGGCTGAGGCAGAAGTATCATTTGAGCCCAGAAATTTGAGGTCACAGTGAGTTATGTATTCTAGCCTAGGTGACAGAGCCAGGCTTTGTCTCTAAGAATAAAAGCGGAAAAAAAAGAAATTGTTGATGAATAAATGAAAAGTGTGATGAGCTAGATGAGTGTTCATCACATCTTAAAAGACATCTAATGTGAGGAATGAGAGGTTAAAAGCTAAATTGCTAATCCTTTAGGTCAGTAGTTCTCAAACTTGTCTGTGCATCAGAATCATCCAGAGGTCTTGTTAAAACCTGGACTGCTGGACCACACTCTGACAGTTTAGGATTTAGTGGGTCTGGGGTAGGGCCCAAGAGTTTGTGTTTGTCACAAGTTCATAGGTGCTGCTGACCTGGGGAACGCATTTTGGGAACTAAGGTTTTAGGTCTTCATCTGGCACCAACATGATTATTAAAATGGACTCACACGTGGGCAAGAAAATGATATTCAATCAGATGATTGAGAATATACGTATTATCTTTGCAAAAACTAATTTAAAAAAAATTTTTTTTTTTTAATTGAGACACAGTCTTGCTACGTTGCCCAAGCTGGTCTTGAACTCTTGGACTCAAGTGATCCTCCTACCTCAGTCTCCCAAAATGCTGGGATTACAAACATGAGTCACTGTGCCTGACAATTTTTAAAATTTCTATAAACAATTTATGGACCCCTAAGAATAAACATCAGAATCTAAAGGTCTCCAGACCCAGTTCAAGAAATGTTCATCTAGATGATTGCTCTGATTTTTTAATCTGATTGATGTATCAAGCTAGGAGAGACTTTTTCTTGAGAGTGTGTGTGTTTTCCCTCAAACTGTTTAAAATGGCAAAAAGAGCCAGACATGGAAGCTCACACCTGTAATCCCAGCACTTTGGGATGCTGAGGCAGGAGGATTGCTTGAGCCCAGGAGTTCAACATCAGTCTGGGCAACATAGCAAGACCTCACCTCTACAAAAAAAAAAAAATCAAAAAATTAGCCAGGTGTGGTGGCACCAGTTACTTGGGAGGCTGAGGTGGAAGGATCACCTGAGCACAGGAGGTTGAGGCTGCAATGAGTCATGATCATGCCACTGCACTCCAGCCTGGGTGACAGAGTAAGATTCTCACTCAAAAATAATTAAAATAAAGTAAAATAAAATGATAAAAGAGCCCTTGGTCAGATTTAAGGTCACAATCATATGATAAACTGGAAAAAAGAGGAATGTATCATGTGTCAGCACCTCCCCAAAGCAGTCCAAAGCTTGGAGTGGAGGATCTCAAGAGAGTAGATTTTCTACTGGAACCACCGTCTGCCCCTTACCTCTGCATAGTCAGCCACGAGGTAAAGCTCCACATACTTCATGGAGTTCAAATCTTCCCTTTTCATCTGAGAAAGAGATAGAAGCAGATCAGAGGAGCAGAGGTGGTGGACTTGGCCTCATTTAAAAAACAAAACTGCTGAGAAACAGCAATAGGATAAGCTGCAGACCTCCATACTTAGATTTTGTCCTCAGACACTAGAGACAGTCCTGGCTGTGGTTACCATCACCCCATAACACTGTCCACTGTCCACTGCCCTCTGGTTATTTCTGGAATCTGCTCTGGGGCATGGGACCCAGTTTTTTAGTCTCAGAAAATACTGATCTGGGTTGGCTGGCACAGGCAGGATGGAGGCCAACATACAGGCAGGAACTTGCTAACCATCAAGTTCCCAAGTGACCTTGAAACCACAGACCCCTATTTTCAGTATGAATAAATACACACATTTTGTGCATATGATAGTGGGGGAGGCATGCTTCCCCTCACCAACTTTTTAAAAGTTTCTGAAATCAGCATCTCAAAGTATTTTAAGTGGAATAGTGTTTTCCCCCAAAGCAGCTGTTCTATTAGGAAGGTTTCTCACACTCAACAATGACTTAAAGTAAAAGAATAACGCTATTTCCTCCTTCTTAGCCATCACCCTTTCATTCAGAAGTAAACCTGGATTCAAAGCAGGCGTACTCAGAGTGGACAAGCCTATTCCCAGGTTGACTCCTACACGGAGAGCCTCACAACTCACCCTGCGAGGTCGCTTCTTGGTCTGATGTGTAAACTGAAGGACCCAGTCCCTGGTGGTGGGCTTGGAGAGCTCGAACCCGCAGTTCCCTGGGGGCAGCTTGAGATGCTCAGATCTGTAAATAAGGTGCTGATCCCCGCTGTCAGGGAGGGGCTCGATGATATAGCTGAGGTTACTGCTCACTGTAATCAGTCCTCTGTTGATAGGAGAAATAGAACCTCTGGTCAAAGATTATGGTTCTGGAAAATTCCCTCATACAAGCCTTACTTTTCTCATATGCAAAATGACACAGAAAGTTTTGATCACTGGTTTTTAACCTTATTATGGGGACACGAGCCCCTCTATGAGACCCCAATGCAAGCCCTGACCTCCTCTCTGAGAAGCACATATGTATATGAAATGTGGGTGCACAACCTCAGGGCACCTGTACCCCCCACTTTCATCATGGGTCTCCAGTTCAAAATCTCTGGACTAGGGAAGCTCAAGGTTCTAAAGAAAAAACTGCTGTGCCCAGGACACTTAATCCTTATAGAGTAAGGTTGGACCAGGATGCCCCAAAGCCTTCCATACCCAAACACAACAAGTGACACATCACAGGTCAAAACTTTACAGGTCGAGAAAAAGCAGTATAGTGGCCAGAGAAAGAACACTGGCCTGCAGGTAAGGAGACCCAGGCTCTAGAATTAGCACCAACACTCAATTGTCACATGCTTTTTTTTTAATTTAAATTTTATTTTTTTAGAGACAAGGTCTCACTCTGTGGCCCAGGCTGGAGTGCAGTGGTGCAATCATAACTCATCGCAGCCTCAAATTCCTGGGCTCAAGTGATCCTCCTGCCTCAGCCTCCTGAGTAGCTGGGACTACGGGCATGAGCCACCAGCCCCAACCCTGTCATATATTCTTCAACAAACATCTTAAATCTCTCTGAGCCTCAATTTCCTCATCCCTAAAATGGAAATGACAATTGAATGATTTATCAGGACCCTTGGATAATTAAATAAAAAGCCAAGTGTCCCTGTGCTTAGAAACCACTGATGACATGCCTACTAGTCCCAACCGCCCCAAGTCGACAAGGCTGCTATTTGGTGAAATGACATCCACCACCAAGCATGTGTGACTACCCTGACCTTCCCCTTGGTTATAGATGTCAGCATTGAACACAGAATAAACTCATCAAGCTCCAGTTTAGACATAATCTGGACATAATCCTTGTCCTCAAAAAATTCACAGTTCACAGGAGGACAACCATTCATTCACAGTTCACAGGAGGACAACCATCCCACAAACGTTAACTGGGTTTCTGCTAAGAGCCAGGTGTTGTGCCAGTTGCTGAGGATGGAGCAGAGAACAAGACAAAGTGCCTGCCCTCATGAAGCTTAGAGTCTAAACACGGAAGTAAGTCACTCCAATATTTAACAGAGAACAAAAAGGTTTCATCGCCCCTAACACTGATGGATTGGATGCAGCTCGTTAGTTCGCTAAATCAACTAGGCTTTGAGCGAGATAGAGGTCATGATTGATTACCTGTTGGTGTTGCATATAATCAATGACGTGAGTAGAGCCCACACAGCAGTGATCTGTCATCCTTGATGCAGTGAGATGAATACAATAGCAAGGCAATGTCCTCAAGGCTCTCCAAAATGTGCTCCAAAACCTCACACAGGCACGCGTCCATCCAGTGTTCTCAGAACCTGAAGCATCTCCAACTCGGAGTCTTTGCCACCGTGAACTGACAGGACCTCTCTCTCAGGGTGTCTCCGCCTCCCCCCCTCCACAAACCCTCAGGACTCCTGCCCAGGTTTTGCCCTTGTGACGTCTCAGGAAAGACAGCGCAGACTCTGGTCAAGATCAGCCCTTCCGGAATCCCATCCCTGGCTGACCTCATTTCTGGAGCCCAATGACTTCCCGTCCCCACCTAGGCTGACGCAGCAACTCCCGACCAGTCCCTCAGCAGGACACCTAAGGCGCTCCCTGGAAGCTGGGAATGAGAGTGGAGCTAGGAGCAAGGGTCACAGCCACCCCCCCTAATTCAACAGGAAAGGGAGGGGGAGAGGCTGCAGGCATCCTGTTCCCATGTTATCTTGTCATCTCAGGCGACCAAGTCCTCTCCCACCACCTCAGTTTCCCCTGCCGGCTACAGATGCTGGGAACACAAAATCAGTTGACCACCAACCAACTGATGGCTCTGTGTGCACCAAGTTGTGGCTGCCAGGGTTACACCCAGTGAGTGGAAAGTTCCATATGGGAATTGGGAATGTTCAAGTGCAGGGTCACAAGGTATAGCCAACCTGGCATCACTTGCACAAGGCTCTGAGTCAAACAGGACAGAGATCAAGCCAGAGCGCGGTGTACCATAAATAATAACAATCACAGAGGCTGTAGATTTTGAGCTACTGACCAGGCACTGTGCTAAGTAAGCATTTTATCACTCACACCAGCTTCTAGGATCTGTACAAACATCATCCCCAATGTGCAAATGCAAAGACCAGGGCTCAGCAAGGCTAATTAACTAACCCAAAGTCATACAAATAGTAAGAGTGGAGTACAGATTTGAATCTAAGTATTCTGGCTCCAAGGTTGTGGGCAACCTTAACCCTGACCTTACACTGCCTTGGTCACAATAGCCCCACAGAGTGGATCAGAAAGACACTCCCAATTTACAGATGGCTTCAGTGGCTGTGCCAGCAACTCTCCTGTGAGGTTTGATTGGCCAGTGCCCAGCTGACCTATCTCAAGTAAGACTCCAGTAAAATCCTGGGAGGTAAGCATTCAGCCTACTTCTTATTATCACATTACCCTTTACTCACCAAATGCCAGTCACTGTGTTTACAGACGTTATTTTTATTTCATTCCCTCATCAATGTTATAAGGTAGGCACCATCATGTGACCCATTTTATAGATGAGGAAACTAAGGCTCAGAGAGATTAAATAACAAGCTCTCACAGGTTATCTGTGGTCAAAGATTTAAGGTCTATAGACTCTATTCCCTTAACCTCTATGCTGTCTGTCTCCATCAGTGAGTTCTAAACTTAAGTGTCAGAGCTCTCTAAGATTGGAGGTCCTGGAGCTGTCTATTAGAATATTCTAAAGAGTACTAAAAATATAGATGTCTAGGACCGCTATGGTTTGTATAGGGTTGGTTTGGCCTTGCCAGCTCTCATGTTGAAATCTGATCCCCAGTGTTGGAGGTGGGGCCTGGCAGGAGGTGTTTGGATAATGGGGGCAGATCATGAATGGCTTGGTGACCTTCTAGCAATGAGTGAGTTCTTGCTCAGTTAATCCCCGTGAGAGTTCCCTTGAGAGCTAGTTGTAAAAAAGAGCATGGTAGCTTCTGCCTTTCTCCCTCTGGCTTCCTCTCTCGCCATGTCATCTCCACACCCAAGCTCCCTTCGCCGTCCACCATGAGTGGAAGCTTCCTGAGGCCCTCACCAAAAGCAGATGCCTGTGCCGTGGTTCTTGTAGAGACTGCAGAACTATAAGCCAACTAAAGCACTTTTATTTATAAGTTACCCAGTCTCAGGCATTCCTTTACAGCAACATAAAAGGACTTATCTGGGGCCCAACCTAAAAGGATTCTGGGGCTGAGAGTCTGTATTGTATTTTCTACACGCTCACAGGAACTCTGGCCTGGAGCCCACACTCCAAAACAGGGGCCTGCTTTTCACAGGGCCCTGGGGAACTCTGATCAGAGAGTGGGCAGATTGAGAAGCACTGGCTCAGAAGGACACTGAAGGTTGTTCTGTGGCAACTCCCCTCCTCTCCCCGACTGCTGTCCCTAGTAATTTGCCTATGTCATGGCCTGAGGGTGGAGAAGAGGCCTGCACAAGACCAGCACTTTACAGTGGACCCCAGCTTTGTGGCTGGGGGAATGTCCGCAAATGTGGTTCTAAGGCCCTCCTTGCCACCACTTCCCAAGTCAGCTCACTGCCCTCCCCTAGCACCCAGCGGTCGTTTGCCCTTCTAGGAGCCTTGGTTGATCTAATTTGCCAAATGTTAGCACTGGCAGAGGCCCAGCCAGCAGGCATGGGCAGGGACCCAGAAGGCTGGGTGGCTGTGGCCTCACGCGCGATTCTCCATTCTATTTTGCATCCTCTTCATCATCGTTAAGAGCTAGAGACAAGCCGGGCTCGGTGGCTCAGCCTGTAATCCCGCGCCTTTGGGAGGCTGAGGTGAGTGGAGTGCTTGAGCCCGCGGGTTCGAGACCCGCCTGGGCAGCGAGACCTCATCTCTACAATAAATCAAAAAATCAGCCGGCGTGGTAGCGCATGCCTGTAATTCCGGCTACTCGGAAGGCTGAGGCGGAAGGATCGCCGGAGCTCAGCAGGTCCAGGCTGCGGTGGCCGGAAGCGGCCACTGCACTCCAGTCTGGGCGACAGAGTAAGACTCAGACTCAAAAAAAAAAAGAGCTGGATACAAATGAAACTGTTCAGAGAAACCCAGGCAGGCCAGGCAGGCAGGCAGGCTGCAGGCGACTCATGTTTAACCCCTGAATGCCTGAAGGACTCATCCAAATGCATCCTTCAAGGACCTAGGCAAGAACTGCACCCTGGGAATTTGTCTACTCAGAGCTATACCAACATCCCTACACCCAAAGCTGCCCTAAGAGGTACCCACTCTGTTTCCCTTCATTCCTCTCTCCTGCCCCCCCAATTTGCATCCATGTGGAAGGAGTTACAGAGAACTTCAAAGTCAGAGAGAAGAGAGAAGTCAAACTGGTGGTATGCTCCCCTGGGACAGGTGGCAGGGCACAGGGAGAGAGTATGCTCAGGAGTGACACACCTGGGGTCACCCTAGCTGCGTTGTCCACTAGCTGTGTGAAGTAATCAGCAATGTTTACTAATAACCAAAGCATCATTTAGAACAGCTGAGAGTCACTGAGCATGCACCACACATTAAGCAAAGTGCAAAGTGTTTTATTCGACAGTCATTCGACACATCTGTATTGAGAACCTACTATGTGACAGGAACTGTTCTGGGCACCGAGGATACAAGCACGATCAAAATAAAGTTTCTGCCATCAAAGAGCTTGTACACATCGCCTAATGTAAATCCACCAAGGACGTCAATATTGCCGTTCCCATTTTGCAGATGAGAAAACTGAGATTAGAGAACTGAAATCACTTGTCAGGGTTTAAACCAGGAAGTATCTGACTCCAGAAGCTGAACTTGTCACAGCTTAATGGTACTGCCCTCCA